TTATGAACATTTCATACAAATTTATTATTATATTAAGAACAATATAAAAGTCTTAGAAAGTCTCAAAAAGTTCATACTGAAAGTCTTAAAAAGTCTCCATAACAATCTCACAAAATCCACATAAGTAATTAAAAGTTGCATAAAGTCCACAAAAGTCATCCACTTTAAAAAGTCTTAAAAAGTCACTAAAAGTTTTAATTGAATACGTCCCATTTTGCATTTGGTTGGAGTGAATGATCGGAGTAGTTCATGTGTGCTAGTACAGTTTGAATTTGGATGAAATTATGCATATTACTAAATTATTATTTTTATGTGTCATTGGTGGCATAAATTAATTGTATTGAGATAAATGAAATGGGACCAAATAGCCTCTAACTAAAGTGCTTATGAGTGCTTTTTGGAGATAAAAAAATGCCTGTGTTTGTGACTTGTAACTTGTGACTTGTGAGTGGTGGTGTTAAACGAAATGCTCATGCGCTCGGTTTAGTTCGGCTCGTTAATGCTCGAAAATAGGGATTTTTATGTAATTTCCTACAGCTCGGCTTGTTAAGGCATAGGTTTGGCTCGTTAAGCTCGAGCTCCAGCGCTAAGGCTTGAGGTCGAGTAGTAGGCGCTCGAGCTCGGCTCGGCTCGTTTACACATCTACTTGTCAGTTCAATATAGAACGTGATACTCTGCAGTTTGCAGTCAATGTTGAGAAGAACACCTATGATAGCACGAAAAGTTATGTTTTTTCTATTGTTTCGATTTGTTTTGTTCTCTTTTAGTTTGTCTACTTTTAATAATTACTATATGTTGGAGACTAGTGACAATGTGGTGGTGGTGGTCCTTGAAAGGTGGATATAAAAAACTTTGGTGGATAAGAACATTAGGCATGTAGGCTGAACAGCATTAGTGGTCTCTCATACATCATCATACGAGGACATGGAGTCGAGATGAATCATCGGTCTTGTGGGGTTGTCCAAGAAAGATGTGATCATACGAACATCTATGTAGGTATCAGGAAAATAACACTAATTCTGGTGTATAATGTATTAAAACACAGAATGATTATTTAGGGGAGTGCTTGCGAGAGCCATAGGAGAAATTTATTCCAGAAAATTATGAATTTTGTTTTTCTTTCTTCAGAGCATGTGAAAACTCCCTAGAATAGCACAACAAACAGCATATCCAGGTAAAACTAAGACTCGTTTATCGTAGTTGTTTCTGACACTTGTGTTCCGAGTCTTCTGTATCTGTACGCCTTTTCAGTTCCTCAAAGTTTGTGCAGGTGCTGGAATACGATCATGATTAAAATTTGAGTGTGCTCTTAAAAATGACTTTTGGTCAACTTTCGAAAGCCGGTTGCCTGCTCTACGTGTCATTTTTTTAGGCCCTGAAACTTGAGTCGTACTTCACTGGTGTAAAGGGTATCCTTATAGATTGTTCACGCGCATTGAAACTTATCAAGCTAATGGTCCTTTTGCATAGATCAGCCTCTCTGCATAAAAATAGCTTAGCAATTTTATAGCAGCACTGTAGTGGACAAACCGCCTTACAACTATTAGCACAAATAAGGAAAGGGAAATAGTTTCAAATTTCTGGGAAATTATCTCAATTTTCTTTACTTAGTTCATTCTGCTTAGCATAGATAACTTATCCAGGTTGCAGCCTTGGCCCCAAATGTCCCGGCAATGTACGAGCTGCACTTTGCTGTGCCCATGGCTGGTGCCATTCTTTGCACGCTCAACACACGTCATGACTCATCCATGGTCTCTGTTTTGCTCAACCATTCCGAATCCAAAATCCTATTCGTTGATTACCAGTTGCTCGACATAGCCAGGGGCGCACTCAAGCTTTTGTCCAATAAAGGCGTCCAAAAGCTACCCATGTTAGTCTTAATCTCAGATCACATTAATCCAGCATCCAACATTGATCTTCAAGAATACGAGACTCTCCTAGCAACCGGGCGGTCCGACTTCACCGTCCTGAGGCCGGAAGACGAGTGGGCTCCGATATCCCTCAACTACACGTCCGGAACAACCTCGAGCCCCAAGGGTGTCGTTTACAGCCACCGTGGGGCCTACCTCAACTCCATGGCTGCCACCCTCCTGAGCGATATGCCCTCCATGCCTGTCTACCTCTGGACGGTCCCCATGTTCCACTGCAACGGTTGGTGCCTCACGTGGGCCGTGGCCGCCCAGGGCGGCACCAACATTTGCCTGAGGAGCGTGACTGCTGCCGGAATATTCAGTGCCATAGCTGAAAACCGTGTCACGTATATGGGTGGGGCCCCCACTGTCCTCAACACAATCGTGCACGCACCTCCCGGCGACCGGAGGCCGTTGCCGGGGAAGGTCACGGTGGCCACAGGCGGGGCCCCACCGCCGCCGGCAGTGCTGTTTGGGATGGAAGAGCTCGGCTTCACCGTGATCCATTCGTACGGGCTGACCGAGACCTACGGGCCAGGAACCGTTTGCACGTGGAAGCCCGAGTGGGATTCGTTGCCTCCTGATGAACGGGCCCGGATAAAGGCCCGTCAGGGCCTTCACCATCTTGGATTGGAGGAGGTCGACGTGAAGGATCCCGTGTCAATGGAGTCCGTGCCGCCCGATGGGAAAACAATGGGTGAGATTATGTTTAGAGGGAACACAGTCATGAATGGGTATTATAAGGATGTCGAGGCAACTCGAGATGCGTTTAAGGGTGGGTGGTTTAGGAGTGGGGATTTGGGGGTGAAGCATTCGGATGGGTACCTAGAGGTGAGGGATCGGTCAAAGGACATAATTATCTCGGGTGGGGAGAATGTAAGCACGATAGAGGTGGAGTCGGTGATTTTCAGCCACCCGGCAGTTCTGGAGGCAGCGGTTGTGGGGCGGCCAGACGAGCACTGGGGGGAGACGGTTTGCGCGTTTGTGAAGTTGAAGGACAATTGTGTGGCGAGTGGTGAGGATATTATAAAGTACTGTCGGCAGAAGTTGCCTCATTACATGGCCCCGAGAACTGTGGTTTTCGATGATCTGCCAAAGACCTCGACGGGAAAAACCCAGAAGTTTGCTCTGAGGGAGAAGGCGAAGATTATGGGCAGCCTTACCAAAGCGAGCAAATTGTGACTTGTGACTTATGTTGTTGTTGGGGTTGTTTTTATCATTTTATGAGCGGAGCGTTTGTATTTGTAGAAACTCTGTTCTTATTGTGTGATGTGTTGGAACTTTTTCTCCCACCATTTGAACAAGAAATGAGTATTATTGGCAATAATTCAAACCGCAAACTGCAAAATTAACATTTATAAGAATATATATTGTATATGAAATATACTATATATTTTTTAAAAATATCAATAAATATATTATAATATTCTGCTACAAAACAATCGTAGAAAATAGTTTTGTAGGCAACATATTTTGTGTTTTTATGGCTTACATGTTCTTAAAGAGTGATATTTCTGTAACTCGGATTATCAACTCGTAGAATCGAGACTTGTGATTGTTGTGTATGTCAAAATATCACCTTATTGAAGCAAAGTTCCACTCGTGAGACAGAGATCAGATGATCAACATTTGTTTATATTTGTGGTCATAATGTAAAAAAATTACAAATAAGATATGAAGCTGTATGTGTTCAAATTTGATTAATATTTAAGATTAGAAAGAACTAATTAAAGTTGTGGAATCGCATTTGAAATTGGTTCTGTTTTCAACTATTCAATACTTTTGAGATGATAT